TTACCTCCTCGTTGCCTAATAGTATTCCATTGTGTGAATGTACCACAGCTTCTGTTTCCAGCTCTTTACTATTGCGAACAAAGCCATAATAAACATGGGTGTGTATATATTTGCTTTGGTGGTGGTTATAGTTTTTTTAGGTTAAATTCCCAGTAGTGGAATTGCTGGGTCAAACAGTATTTCTATTTGCAACTTTTTGAGAAAGTGCCATACAGTCTTCCATAGTGGTTGCACCATTTTGCACTCCCACCAACAGTGAATAAGGGTTCCAGTTTTTCTGAAAAGATTCTCAATAATTTAAAATACTAAAGGCACGTAAGTTAGAGTTTAAGTAGTCTACCAATTTTCCTGATAATTTATTCTTTTAAAAAATTTTTAAACTTTATTCTTTTGATATTTTACAGATTCAAACTAGACATCGGTGACCCTTTAGATTTTTCTGTATATCCCAGTGAAGGAAACACAGCAACACAGCTTTCTGTCTGCACTATATAAAAAGTAAAAGAGTGAAAGTTATTGTCACTGAGTTGAAATAAACTCAAAGCTGACACTCCAGAGCATTTTCTGAGATTGTAATTTGCAGAAGAGGTGGCTATGGACCTTTCATGGAGCGGCTGGTGGATCCAAAACCACCAGAGAACTGCCATCTTTGTGATTAACAGTACAACTCCCTATGGACTACGTCACGAGAGCTCCTTATTGTACTATATAAACTTTTCCCAATACATACCTGTGATTATTTTTAAAAGTGTCCTTGTAAGCCAGCTAAAATATTTTTTTGGATGTAAGTACTACCTGAGGATTACTTAATGCTTATCAAAGATTGTTTTTATCCATGCAAACTCGTGATGCCATAAACAATATATTGAGAGGCATTAATAAAGACATAGGGAAATCAAGGTGGTATAAACCAAATCCTTGAGTTAGCTAGTTAAATATATGTAGGATTTTAAAACATAGCTCCAACTGGCTAGTAAAAATAAAAGTGATCATGTACATGATCAATCTTTCTTCCCAAGTAGAACACAGAACAATTCCTTAGAAGAGTTCTTGGGGAAAATGAAAAATTTTAGTAGTAGTTTGGATTCAGGGGCCTTTGAACTTTTGAGTCAGTGTCTATAAAAAGGTTCACAAGTAGGTATAAAAATTCTCTTCTAAGACAATTTAGGCAGTAGTATTGTAATAAGCTTGTCCTTAGGCTTGTCTATTTCTAAGTAACTTCCACAGAGCTTCATAACCTATTTAAAATATCATATTAAAAGCCAAATATTAAATATTTTGGGCAACTATTTAGAAAACAATCATTATGATTTTGCTATTAATTTTTCACCATCCAGCCAGAAAAACATAAGCAAATAAGTTTTCCTTTTGTTACTATGTTGTTAATAAGCAAGTATTTATCTATTTTTATAATAGCTGGAAGATATTTGGTGGTGTGGTTAACAAAAAGGTTGGCAATCCACCAATCAGCCACTCCAAAGGATAAAGATGTGGTAATCTGCTTCCATAAAAATGTATAGCATTGTAAACCCACAGGGCAGTTCTATTATGTTTTATAAGGCTGCTATGAGTTGAAATCAAAAGCAATGGATTTGGAGTTTATAGCTAGCTAGCCTATGTCCCATAGGCTGCTTGTAGTATATTTGCTGTCAATAAAATCTCAGACTTCTGAAAACTGGCACCAAGTAAAAGTAGAACTTGTTTCATTGGCTTTTCTTTGTAGCTTAAACTATGGTTTCATTTGCCATTGATTCAGAACCAACTCATAGCTGACCCTCCAGTGGCATTTCAGAGGCAGTAAATTTCACAGGATGAGACTGTCCATGTTTCTCCCTCAGAACAGCTGGAGGACTGAAACTGGGTTGCTTCAGGTAAGCAGCACAGCTTCCTACCACTACACCACCCTTAGTTTAAAGTATACAACCAAGGAAAAATTTGCTTTGTGTTGAATAATAAACAGAGAGAGAACCTCAAACTATCACGTTGATATTATTCCTGAATCACATAAAGGTCATTTTACAGCTTGAAATACACTTAAGAAGCACCATCTAAAGGAATTGATGGACAAGATGCTTCTAAAAAAAGAATTTTTCACAAATAGGACTCTAACTAGACAACTGAAAAGCAGAAACAGCAATTCTGTTGTTGACAAGTTTATCAAATTTGTGAGTCCTTTATTAATTTAGAATATATTCCATACACCTAGTCAAATTTTAATAAAAATTTCTCTCTAGTAATTTCTTAACTAAACACAGAGAAGCAAAATAAAGTCAGAAGATTCTATCACTAGGTACATATTTGATTTGCAAAAGGTAAAGTACTGTATTTTCAAAATGTTTCTGGTATGGCTGTATGCTTTGTATGTTATAATACAGCAACACCTCCTTCACAACGACTGGTGATCATATTACCAATTTCTGTCCATGTATCTGAATGAGGGTTATAAACTTCCACTGAGTCCAAAGTTCCTGGGGCCAAGAAGTCATGGCTAGAAGATCGACCTCCAGAAACATACAGAAGGCCATTGACTGCCACAACACACATGCCTGCTCTAGGTACTTTCATTGAGGCAACTTCAATCCACTTTTCCTGGTTAAAAGAAAAAAAAAATATTAGAGTAATAAAATTATTGCAACAGAGATAATTTCTGAAAAACCAGATACTCTGACTTTTTTGCATGTTTACATTTAAAATTCAAAATTTACTCAGGCAAGCGTAACATTTTTATTTGAACTTTTGTCTGGAAAATTAGTGAATTCAGAAGGAAACTTAAAAACACAGCTATGATTACAAATACAAATTATGATAAAAAGTGACCTAGAAATAGTATATAGGCCAGTATTCTAAGAAACTAGTTCTATGGGCTATTAGCAGGTAATGCATTAAAAAAAAAAGCACACCACACCACAACAACACACACACAAATAAACTAAACAAAAATGCTCAGCAATGACCTTTTAAGAACATTTTGTTAAACAATGACTTAAACATCTTAAAGAGACTGAAAAAGCATATAACACCTATCAAATTTATTTGACTATGAAATCTGTTTTTTGCAAGGACCATCTAGTGGAATTATTGATGATTGTTGTTGTTGTTATGTGCCATCGAGTTGCTTGCGACTCATAGCGACCCCAAGTACAAGAGTCCTGTAAGCTGTTCTATTCTGTGCCAACCTAGCCATCTCAAAAGCACTCATTCCCAGGGATCTCTGGTGGCCTAGTGGCAAGACACTGCACTGCAATCCCAGAGGTACACGGTTCAAAGCCACCAGATGCTCAGCTGGAAAAGGAGGGGACAATCTCCTCCTGTACCAGTCAGATCTGATTTGATGGTACATGTAAAAATAATACAATAAAATTAAAAAAAATTTAAAAAGCACTCATTCTCATCACTCCAGTTACAGAATCAATCCATCTCTTCGAAGGTCTTCCTCTCCAGCACCGCCCCTCCACTCTGCCAAACATGATGTCCCTCTCTAAGGACTAGTCCCTCCTTACAACATGCCCAAAGTATGTCAGATGAAGTTTCAGAATCCTTGACTCCAAGGAGCATTCTGCTTCACCCTCTCCAGGACAAACCTGTTTGTTCTCCTAGCAGTCCATGGTATATTCAACACTCTTCTCCAGCACCACAGTTCAAAGGCATCAAT